TGAGCCTAGACGAGTCAAGAAGGATCACGAGCCATGTAGTCACGGGCCGTGGGACTCCACCTTTAGAGAAATCCTCTTTTAAAAAATTTTTTGTACATTTTAGAGTTAATTTTAGTTAAAAAATATTAAAAATAACAAATTAGCAATCAAAAAGTATTAAGCATTAGCCGTCTGATAAATATAAAAAAATATATCTAGATAAGACAATTCTGTTAAACTATATGCATATATTACAGTAATTAAATAATAATTAATAAATTAACAATTATATGATTTATTTGATAAAGTAAGACATATATTATAGTTTTAACATACAAATGTTTGAATCTTATTATATAAAAACTGTCTAATATCTATCAATTTTAAATTAATAACAAATAATTCTTTATAACTTTTGAAAGATATATAAATACATAATAATTACTTTTATTGTACATAATGATTACTTTTGTGTACATTTCTTTAAAAAGTTTGGTTAATCTTGCAATGCATCTAAAAGTATGCGATAAAAATATTTCAACAAAAGAACAGAATCTTCCAGCATGTTTTTACCGAATGCGAGTTCTCCGTAAGTGCTACAGCCTAAAGTACACACTACACTGCAAATATGGTGAAGTGAAGAAAACGCGCAATTATATCGTACCGCTAATGATTTTCACAAGCTTTTTATCATCGTGCACTATGCGCGAATGAAACACAGGTGGCTTGTAATGGCACAGTAAGCGTGAAAAAAGTATAACAGCATGAGGCAGCTACCGATTATCTTGTCGCGACAATAGATTTGATATGTGAACACAATATGGTTGAAATACATTATACGTGACATTGTATTTTTTAATTAATTTCAATAATTATTATAGCTTGCGTTAATACTTAGGAAATAATTAAGAAATTAGTTTACCGCAAAATAAGATTAGAAAATTACGTTTATGCTATAAATAATATTTAAGGTAATAATCTTTTATCTTTTGTATTCTGGATCTTTTTTCATCAGTTTGTTTTTATAGAAAGTTTCTTGAAAAATTTTAAATTCTTTATTTTTATATAATTTTATTCATTTTTCCTTAATTTGTAAATTAAACCATTAATTAAAATTTTAATATATGTGTATATATAAGTGTCTCAAAAATAGGGTAGCAGCCGCATATTTTCTTTATTAATTCGAAAACTACAGCGAATCAAAATGGTATAAGACTTTTTTGTTCCCTTTGACCTCTTCTACTCTCTCATTGCGGTTCCTACCCTATTTTTGAAACATCCTGTGTATATATGTATATATATATGTTTTGTTTAATATTACAAATAAAAAATAATTTTGTTCTTTGTTTTTATTTCTAAAAATTAATAAATAAATAAAACAATGTGTTATTTCATAATAAATGTAGTAATAATAACAATTTCGCTTGACGTATTAAAAACTAATAAACTAGTAAACATTTATCATCAATAATAACTAACAAGCAGAGTTGTAAGTAATTAATTACATTTTAAATTAAATTACCAATTTAATTAACAATTGATATGGGAAGATTAAATTAAATATTGTTTAATTTACAATTGATTGAAACAAATTTAATTGTAACTCTTTAATTGACGATTGATTCGAGGAGAATTACTCGAAAGTCGTTTAATTGACGATTGATTCGAGGGGAATTAATTGAAAGTTGTTAAATTGACAATTAATTCGAGGAGAATTAATTGAAAGTCATTTAATTGACAATTGATTCGAAGAGAATTAATTGAAAGTCATTTAATTGACGATCGATTCGAGGGGAATTAATTGAAAGTAATTTAATTGACGATTGATGTGAGTGAATTCAATTGAAGGTAATTCGATTAACGATTGATTTAATTAACCAAATTAATTGAAGATTCAATTGACGATTGATTTAAGGAAGTATTCTCGCCTTTAAAATGGGCTTCACAAAATCGTTTTTTTTTTCGTTTTTTATTATAGATACTCTAAATCTTTAGGATATACTTTAAAATATTTGAGAGCTGAAATTGCTTGAAACGAACCTAGATAATCGATTTCTCTCGCAAATATTTGAAAGTACTTATATCCTAAAGATTTAGAGTATCTATATTAAAAAAACGAAAAAAAAAATCGATTTTGTGAAGCCCATGCTGAAGCGAGAATACTTCCTTAAATCAATCGTCAATCGAATCTTCAATTTGATTAATTAAATCAATCATTAATCGAATTACCTTCAATTAAATTCACTCACATTAATCGTCAATTTAATTATTTTCAATTAATTCCCCTCAAATCAATCGTCAATTAAACGGCTTTCAATTAATTCCCCTCGAATCAATTGTCCATTAAACGACTTTCAATTAATTCTCCTGGAATCAATCGTCAATTAAACGACTTTCAATTAATTCCTCTCGAATCAATCGTCAATTAAACGACTTTCAAGTAATTCTCCTCGAATCAATCGTCAATTAAAAAGTTTCGATTAAATTTGTTTCAATCAATTGTAAATTAAACGATATTGAATTGAATCTTCCCATATCAATTGTCAATTAAATGGTTTTTAATTACTTTGGACTTTTTTAATTATTTAATGAAAAATATTTAATTGATAATATGACCATCCCAATACAAGATATAACTTCTTAATTGTCTGTGTTTTAAATACATTTGAAATGTAGATACATATTCCGTGATACTTCGCACTATATAGAATCGAGCGTTAACGCTACTTTAGCATCATAAAGCATTGCAAGAATAAATCTTCATTTCGCTCGATTAGCCCCTTTTCATATTCAGCACTCATGGTAACAACTCGTTACGAATCGTTATATAATCGAATATGACCCGTTTTTGCGCGAGATGGAAATATTTCCAGGCAATTCTCATACAAGACGTTTTCTAAATTATATTAGATTAAAATTTTACGTACCAGCGAGTGAATTTTTACCGTGGCGCTTTCTTTATTTATAAAATGATAATGTTTATTAAAAATATTAATAATTTTTTATTTGGCGTAATTTTATAATTATTGACACAACTGAAGTAATCTATTCTACATAGTTGCTCTTAATATAACAAGGTCTCAAAAAATTGAATTAAGTTCCTATGATTAATTTGATTGAGATTTAATTGAGATTGTTAATTATTTCCAAATCCTCTTAATTACGCAATTCCTTTTTTACAACAATTTTAAATAACAAAAGTTCTTTATATTCAAACTTTTATCATTACCTTAATAATCAAGACGCGCTGACGAAGTTAAGCAAAAAAAAAACATTCTAGGAACACTCTATGTATTATAATTATGTATTATCAAGTTTCTCAGAATCTAGGTTGAACAATGCTGTTTTTTTGGTTAATTAAAAAAAGTAAGTATTTTTCAGATTTTAATTTTGCATGAACGATAAATAATTTTTCCTTGATGGCAGATTTAATGTTAGCTCCGAAATGTAAGGTGTTTTCAAGAATGTGGAATATTAGACAGCACTGTTTTACTTTCTCAATTTATTAAAATAGCACGTAATGTCGTTTCCACTTGCCTTCCAACCCTTAATGGGCAATATTGAATAGAAATAGTCATCCAAAAGTGGATTCATAACAACGGTTAGACCGCGTTCTATTCCGAGATCGAACACTTTCAGCGGCTCACTCATCTCAGTCACATTGTTCTGTCTGTTAAAATGTAATTATCGTCGTTAATTTTTTAAAAACTATGATAATTTAATATTATATTTAGCATTATATTTATAAACTAAAAAATCGATATTCTTTATGATGTTTTAAACTGATTTACATTTAACACTATTTGGTATATTATTAGAGATTATTGATGATTATCGAAAATTACAATCAAAATACATATGTAAACTTTTTTTCCGCATAAATTATATAACGTAATATTAATACATTGATATTAATTTCTCATTAAAATACGGAACCACGTTTTACTATCAAATATGAACATGTATAATATGTGTATCTCCTGATGCATTAACAGATTAGTAAAACATAATTTATATAAAGGGAATTACCATATGCATTTAAAACTGGACATTGTAAATGTCAAGATGATATAAAAGATAATTCTTTGAATATAAAAACATAATAATCAATTTATTAATCATTAAAAATAATGTACAATAGTATATGCCAAAAGTACATACATACTTTATGAATATACATATATAAAATAGATAAAGAACTTGCGTTTTAATGATTTAAATAAGTTTTTCTATGATTAAAAATTGATTTCTAACATAATTTAAACATCTGTTTAAAAAAATTTCTTCACATATTAATAATATAATAAAAAAATGTTCATGAATTATTCTATATGAAGAATTGCTTTCAAATTGCAGTAGTTAATCTTTGTCGAGCAGCATATATGTACAAAAAGAGTCAAAGCAAATGACAATATTTTCCTGCAACATAATTTACATACTGCGATCTAATCAACAAACGATATGATTTAATGACAACTTCTAATCAACAAACATCGTGATTCAACAATAACATTCTAATCGACAAGCATCATGGACAATTTAGCAATGTAGTTTGTGTTAATGTGTTATGAATCAATTTATATCAATTTGGCATTTAGCCATTTTCAAGTATATGATTAAAAAATATTTAATATAATTAACTTAAAAAAAATATATATATATTTATTTCTTATTGTTAAACAGTAATAATGAAATATAGTAAAATAAAACAATGATAAATAGAACAATTTTATACAAATAATAGAACATTTTTATATCATAATGATAGCTTGGAAATATGCTTCATTTACGCTGCACTATCTGAACATAGATAAACAAGTCAAATACATGATTTAACTACTACATGTTGTATGCTTTCTGGAAATACGTTTTGAAAACACGGGATACTCACTCGAAAATGTCGTCGCTTTCACGCACGTAATTGAAAGTGCAACAGTATCCGTCCTGCGTTTTGCGAAACTTAAAAAGTGTCGAACAATCGCTGTAGTTTCCATGTAGCTTACATTTCGATAGCATCATCGAACATTGCGGAGTCAGCTGGAAAATGCAAATATGCAACACATGTTGTCGTAAATTGCTACAATTTTCTGAGCTGTAACAACGGCGGTCGACACACAAAGTATCATGCAAATAATATTTTAATTGATCTTCTAAGGAAACCTTAAAGCAGCTACATTGGCAAAAAATAAAGTAACGTGCCTGTCTACATAAATGATTTCTGTTTGCTAAAATTACCAAAGAATTGAAAATTAGGCAGATAAATTTAAGCAGGGAGTATCCGTAAAAAATCAGTATAGTAGTAATGAGACTATAAAGAAATTTGCATTTAAAATTAAACAAACTTGAGAGTTTAAACTTTTATTATTACACTAAACAATAAAAATTAAACAGTTTACTATTACAGTTATTCTAATTATTGCACAATTAAAAGGATTTTATACGTACCAATCAACGTATACGTATATAAAAAAAGTTTAATAAAAGTGTGTAAGTAAAATTCTAGTGTACCACATATTTGAAACATGATGATGATTGAATTTGCATACGTACAGCTTTCATTATTTCAGTGACATCGTAAATCCCATTATGATAAGTTGTTAAAAGTTTATCTAATTCCACATTATTATCCATGTCAAAATTAGAAATGTAGAGATTGCCCAGCTGCATTATCAAGATGAGAATTTCATCAACTGTCTGGTTCGTGATATCTGCTTTAAAACTGGTTTTAAGAAAAATGTAAATATTTCAATAAAAGCCATCATACATAATATATATTTCTCAACATTATCTTAAACACAGTAGCGAACAAAAAAGATGCGTAATTTTCTTTTGACAACATAATTGTCATCCATATTGTTCAACTACACAATAGATTTTATATTTTTTTTTTACGATACGTTATGGTATATACAGAATGTAGAAAAAGTCCCGAACCCCTTAAATATTTTGAAAAGTAATCATTTTTGAGAAAAATGTTTTATACAAAAGTTGTAGGGTTGAAAATGATCTATTGACTGACCTTACCAATTTGACCTTGGATGGCGCCACCAAGGTCAAGTCAAGGTCAAATCGATTTTTTTAAACGAAACATCCTATTTTTCATTTGAGAATCTAATAGCTGAGGTCGGGAGCTTTCCAAAACACTATAATAAAGCCTCTTTTTAATCAGTACTTTTCAAATTATGAGAATTGAAAGTTACGTAACCGCCGGCATTAGCATTATCTAAGATATTACGTAGAGATTGCCCGACTGGATTTATGAGACATGTATGTGCCCGCGAATGTCTGTATCTCTATCTCCTCCTCCCTCCTACCCTTTCCTTCTCCCCCCATCCCTCCTACTCCTTTCCATCCCCTCTCCTTCCTTCCCACTCTTTCAACCAAGCTGAAGACTACATAAGCTAGAGATCTCTCCTGTCAAGTTCATTCTTTCTGTGACCTGCGATTGAGAAGGTATACTTTTTCGTGATATTCCGTTCTGAGATTGCTTATCGCCACATAGTTATCTTTGTTTATAAAGTTTATCTTTGTTTATTTAAAATACTTTATGATGCTTACACTGAACAGGAGCATATATTCCTTTTAATGATGCGAGGATGGGATGATCGTAGGAAGTCTTACGCACATGTGACAGAACTTTTTAATCAAACTTTTAGGAATGAGGACAATGTTATATCTAAATCGACTGTTATTCATACTGTACCACGTTTTGAAGAAATGGGTTTTGTAAAAGACCATAATAGACAAGGTAGACTAGCAATAACGACAAATCCTGATAAAAGATTGAATGTTCTACAGTCTTTTATCGAAGATCCGCGCAAAGTTGCACAACAACACGACATCGATCTTATGTCAGTTCATAAAATTCTAAAAAAGGAGAAATTTCATCCATATAAGAGTCATCTGGCGCAGAAACTATGTGAAGATTTTGGTCGTCGCATTGAATTTTGCGAAAGTATGATGTTAAATATCGATAGAAATCTTTTATTTGTGACATTATTTTTTCAGATAAAGCTACTTTTGAGCTAATCGGAAATGTAAATCGACATAATTGCAGATATTGGAGCGATGAAAATCCTCATTGGATGTACGAGGCACATACTCAGAATCAGCAAAAAGTCAACGTATGGGCTGGAATTTTAAATGAAGCCATTATTGTGCCTTTCTTTATTGAAGATAATTTAAACGCTGACAATTACTTAACCATGTTTCAAGATGAAATAATTCCAGCAATCCGAAACATCGCTCATCAAAACTTCAATGACATTTAGTTCCAGCAAAATGGGACGTCACCTCACTACAGTTTACAAGTACGCCAATATCTGAATGAAGTTTTTTCGAATAGGTGGATAGGAAGAAGGGGTTACATTGAATGGCCAGCACGATCGCCTGATCTAGATCCACTCGACTATTTTTTATGAGGATATTTAAAGGGAAAAATTTATAAAACTAAATCTTGAAATCTTAATGATTTACGTCAACGAATAATAAATGAATTTAGAATCATGCCTCGCGAATTCTGTAGAAATGCAGTCTTAAGTTTTTATAATCGTCTAGCACATTGTCAGACTACGAAGGGACGCCAATTTGAGTATTTGGTGAGTGATATGTAAACCATTTAAAATCCTTTTAACTCTAGCTCGCCATACTGAGATATGACTTATCTAATGCGATTTTTCACATTGCAATTCAGACTTTAACTTTTTATGATGTAATTTAAGAATAAAATATTTTTTGTTTCATCTTTGTTTATTTGTTCTTGTCTTATTCTAGAGATATCAATTTTGCATGTGATAAGTTTATTTAAAATATGTTTTCTATTCAGAGAGAGAGAGAGAGATATATAATTTGACGAAGTTCCAGATCCAGGTGGGGTCTAGCCGAGAAAGTAACTAAAAACTGGTAGTTAAGGCGAGCTGGGTTAAAGGAATGACAAATGCTCAAACGAAAAACAGCTGATTTAGATATACCTTGTATATATTGTCTTTATTTCTAAAAGATTGATTGAAAAGTCTTGTCGCTTGCGTAAGACCTCCTATAACCACCCCATCCTCGCATCATTAAAAGGGATATACGTTCAGTAAGCATTATAAAGTATTTTAAATAAACAAAGATAAACTTTATAAACAAAGATAACTATGTGGCAATAAGCAATCTTAGAACGGAGTATCATGAAAAAGTATATCTTCTCAATCGTAGGTCACAGAAAGAGTGAAGGAAACCTTCAGGAGAGATCTCTAGCTTATGTAGTCTCCAGCTTTGTTGAAAGGGTGGGAGGGAGGAGGAGATAGAGATACAGACATTCGCGGGCACATACATGTCTCATAAATCCAGTCGGGCAATCTCTACGTAATACCTTAGATAATGCTAATGTCGGCGGTTCTATAACTTTCAACTCTCATAACTTGAAAAATACTGATTAAAAAGAGGCTTTATTATAGTGTTTTGGAAAGCTCCCGACCTCAGCTATTAGATTCTAAAATGAAATATAGGGTATTTCGTTTAAAAAAATCGATTTGACCTTGACTTGACCTTGGTGGCACCATCCAAGGTCAAATTGATAAGGTCAGTCAATAGATCATTTTCAACCCTACAACTTTTGTATAAAACATTTTTCTCAAAAATGATTACTTTTCAAGATATTTAAGGAGTCCGGGATTTTTTCTACACCCTGTATATTATACTGATATTATACTGAAAATATTTTAAAACAATGTTTATATTCTAAAGTTTGACAACTGGTCTCTGTAACGAGAAAAGTGATATATTCAAAGTTGATAATTAATTTTTCACTCTGTGATGGACAAATTGATTGACAATATACCACACAAACATAATGCTTTTGAAACTAGCAATGGCTTGACTAGTAAATATTAATAATGTATTTTTATATTATAACTACTTTATTTATATTATAATTATAATTACTTTTTCATTGATTTAATTCTCCGTATAGCCATAAATAAAAAAAATTAGTAAAGTATATAATTTTCGAAAAAAAAAATTTTTTTTATTATATATATATACATATATATATATATACAATAATAATTTCTTTCATTGTCTTCCACAATTAAATCTTTTTAGTGTATGTACATTGTAGATTATTTGCTCATTTTTAGTAATAACATCTAAAAACAGCATCAATACCTTTATCAGGTAGGTAAGAGTGGACTACATGTATACTGAAAATATTGCAATTAATTGCTCAAAACTAATATATATTTTCTTGTGCTTCTCTTACAAAAGAAAGTAGAAGAGAAGGTGGTATTACGGCCAGTGTATATAATGTGGCCTCCCTTAATATTTCCGCTATTATATAGTGAATCCTAATAATTACTTATGGAATTATTAGTCCAATAGTTCGCCGTTAACCATGACTCTAATATTACCAATATTCAATAACCAGCACTTATTATAACGCATTTTTACTTTCAAGTATTTCGAAACGTTTCTGAGGTACATTTTAGCATATAATTACACTTACTTCCTTATTTTTCTTAAAACTTGAGCGTATTATCACATGAATATCTGTATTTTTAAGTGTGTTATTTGCTATTTAACATTTTATTTGACTATATATATTTTGAGTCATGTAAATTTAAACAACAGCATGGCATTTTGCTAATGTGGCCCTCTATGGATATTGATTACTCATGATCTCTTTTTTGAGTAGCATTTTAGTACAATATTTGTTGAAATTTAGTAAATTAATTTTTATAATGGATAATAATCCAGAATTGGATAATAATCCAGAATCAAAAATATTGATTCTGGATCTTTTATTATAATTTTAAAGTTAACGTTTTAGTAAATATTTGTTTAAATTCAAGTTTTCCGAAATTACAAAGACAGTAAATGGGTTACTTATAAGAAATATATATTTTCTTAAAATAATTTATTATATTTAAAGAAACGTATACTTAATTAAAGTTAATATATTTGACAAAAAGAGAAAGAAATTTTTATCTATAATATAATAAACATATTCTTTTAATTTTAAAATACATTTTTTTTACTTACGAGCTTTTTCCTTTTATTTTAATATTTTTCTGAAAATTCTTTGCACAAGTTCTAAAATGTGTTTTCAGCAAAGAATGTAATTCACTAAGCACTTATACAGTGATCATCTATACACAAGGCACAATATAACTATTTATTTAGATATAGCGGTTCATTGAGAGAACTGATTCTCAAATTCTGATTCCTATTTCTACTATTTAATATTCTTTCATTATATGCAGAACCTAAGACGGTTTTGACATAAGAACGTATGCTCTTATATTTAAGATCGTCTTATTGTTTTTGCACATGGAAACGCTTGTCGCGCGTCAGGCAACTGCCAATTAAGAGAGGAACGCGGTAGCCAATCATTTTATCCCTTTTCTGATGCAACCGCGCGCATCGTACTATATGATTCTCTTTTCCCATGATCTCTTACCATTCCGCCACAAATGCCGGATATGTTCGTATGTGTTATGTGTGTATACAATTCAACCTTCTTCTCAACGACAATTAGACGTGTGGAAATATTGCGTGAAGTTAATAATCACACTGAGAGAGAGAGAAGCCTACTCAAGTATAGTAAATGTGGATTATTCTTAATATTTGCATGCAAACATGTAATTTAAAAATGCGTCCAATTTATCGAGCTAAATGTCAAGCCGAACTTCAAGTCCCGAGCATTTCATTGTCTTTCGTCGTGCATCAAATACTTATCGAAATGTTTATGTCTCGAGGTTCAACTCGAAGTTTGGCTTGATGATTACGACGTACGTATAAAGGGTGGCTTCCAACAAGAAACACACACGACATGATGTGACACAGTGCATTATTACATCCTTGTTGTTCACCAATGTTAAACAAGGATAAGATGATCATTGTATTGTACCAAGTCGCTTGTTGGAAAGTATCCATAATCATGCAGAGTGCCATAACGCGTGGCTTGTCTCACTCGAAGCTTCGTCAAGACTTGTTACGGTGAGCTTCTACGCGCCGTAAATAGTTTCATCTTGGCTCATTTGTAAGAATAAAAAACAGGTTAAAACCGCGTTTATGGCGCGTAGAAGCTCGTCAAACCATGACAATTTCGTTGAAGATCATGGCCCGGCGCTCCTCTATGCACCGTGGAATCGCGGTTTTAGTCTGTTTCTTACCAATTCGAGAGTCGAATTTATGACGAGCATAAATGAACCAAGTCACGAATTATGACGAATCACACGCCGTGGGATCCCGGCTTAAGGATGTTTTAGCTGTACAACATTAGATAAAGTAAAAAATCTTAGATTAGATCAGCCCAAAAATTTGTTGCGTGTGACGAAATCGTGCACCATTATTTATATTATTACTTTTTTTACAGCTTCTCACATATATTTCTTCTCAAGTTATATATTCTATTGCAAAATTATTTTTTATAACTTTACACGTAAAGAGTGAACATTTTACAAAAATATGGAAATTATAAATATTTTGCAACAATTGGGCTTAACTGCTTATGCTACTGTTTTCAAAAGTAAGTTTAATTAATAGTATTTTAAAAGATTATCTTTCCTCTATGACAAACATTCTAAAATAATTTCATGTTTTATAATTGAAAAATTTGTTAATATTAATTTCAATTATATTTTAATTAAAGAAAACGGAATCACAAGTTAATGAAGTTAATGGAGTTAATGAAATACTTAAATGAAAAATTAATCCTATTATAACAATCATGAGCTACGAGCCAATATGATATATTTGTTACAAAGTTCAAATTAATATATTATAACGCATGTTTATGTTTGCGCTTGATGAAGTAGTTATAATGATAAAACGAATCAAATGATAAAAATTCACAACATCATAACATAATACAAAAATTCAAAACAAAAATTAAACGTCGAAGATTCAGTTAGTAACAATGTTCATAATTATACACAAAACGTTTCGATCTATCATGAGATCATCTTCAAGTTGTTAAAATAATATCCGGATATAATATCTTTAATATATAAAAGAATAAAAATTATTGTACGTGTATGTAACCTCGGCAGACAACATAACCACAGTAATATTGAGCGAAGTGCAATCAAATTCAAGGAGATACATCAAATTACGTCCTAATGTTTTTGCTATTGTAATCTAAAAATGTGAAGAAGAAACAATCGATATTAAAAATAGGTTTATAAAAATTGTTGCAATAATTTATATATCTATAACTAAATTAATGGAAAGATATAACAAAATATTAAAATAATACTACATATATGCCAAAAAAGTTAATTAAAAATTAAAAATTGAAGATAAAGAGGAATATATCTACCTTAGATTGCACACAATGATTGTATGATCTGATAGTGTTATAGTTTTCATTTTTTTTTATAAAAAACTAGAGATACCAGGTGAGCTCTTTTATATATGACAGACAGATAAAAAATGA